CTAGTAAGTAATATATTACAAACAAAAATCGTCTACTGACAAAATATGCATTTTTTTAGGTGGAGTACAACCCGTTTTGAAACTTGTTGATAAGGGGCTGATTGTTGTATTTATGGAGTTATAGCTAATATTTGCTGAAAAAATGAACTCTGGTTTGTAGACAGTAAGATTATACTTGGCAGTTGTTGTAAGATTATATTTGGTAGTAGTTGACAAAATCACTGGAGCTGCTCTGACATTCTGATTGAAACAATTTCACCATTCTTCCCGGACTTCATGACATGGAATTTTACGTGAAGACCTGCCACCACAATATAACAGTAAGTAATGAGTGAGAGTTTGAAGTACAGTTTGTCACTCATAAAAATTGAAGAAACCAGGGTTAATATACCTTCATTCTCTTGCAAGTTTGTGTTAACTGCTACTGCATAAGAGGTTATCATAGCTTTTGGTTGCCAATCATTGGGCTTTCCTACCCATGACTTGAGATCAAGGACAGCTGAACATGCATTACAAATGACACAGCAACATAAAATTAAATCTCATATCAAGAATAAGTCATGGTCCTTCGTTCATTATCAGGATCTAAAGTAACAGGAGTTGTCTTTCCAATAATTTCACGTGACTATGAATTATCTACATTCTGAAAAGTTTGTGTGTTCTTGTACTGATTCATGAAGAACCCAAGAAGGGGCCAGAATGAAGCTTCTATGTTTTGGCAGTTAAATTTTGGAAATTGATCGTGTTAGACTCGATTGCAAAGCTAACAGCAACTTATAACTATTTCAGTGAATTGAGCTGTTACCAGAAGTTGAGCGATCTTTGAGATGTTTGATATCAAATATACCAGCAGAGGCTCCATTAGCTTGCTTCTTCTCATTGTGGGAACCTAGCAACTCATAATCCCAGCTTCCATCCTGGTATCCTTCACTTAGAAACAGTTCAATATGTCTTGCATCTAATACCTGCATTGTTCCTGCATAGAATAACACATGATTAAATTATTAGCCATCTTTATAGCACTTCGGATAGGCAGGAAAAGCAATCTGGGGAATGGACTAAACCCAAAAGGAGCAACTATGGAATAGTTTAATTTGCACAAACATAAAGTGGCAATGGTTCAATTTGCTGTCCACTGTTCAATTAGTAGAAAACCTTCCAACTGATTAAGCTTCTGAAGGTACAGTAACCTTGTCGTTCCTTTCTAAAATATGAAAAACCCAACCAGCTTACCATCACATGTGTTGAGGTCACAGACTGGGCAACGAACAAGCTGCAAATCTGGAAGAACCAAATAACAAAAGGGATTAAAAAGTAATGCTGATGAGAAATTCTTTTACACAACCACGAAATTTACCAGCAATCCAGATTCCACTCTTGACATTTCTGACCACACAGCACCCGTTTGACTCCAACATCTTCTCTGTTGTCTTCTCCTTAAGGACTTTCAAGGGAGGGATCAAATTCTCTGTCAGGAGTGCATTTTGCGAGTCAAAGGAAAATGCTCCAATGCGCATCCAGTCTGATCATTCGTTCAAACAACTTAAAGGTATCAGCAACCATTGAAAGAAATTGGCAACACCTCAGTGCTGTGTGTTGATACCAAAATTCACCATATAGAGCAAAACTGGAGGGGTTATACCAATATGTTTATCCTGCTGGCGGAACTTGTAAGAATGACATCCATCTGCAACGTGTGTTCGTTACAGTAGAGAACCAGACATTTTCAATGTCACTTCTGATTTAAACTGTAAAACTCATGTAAAAAGAGAAACTGCTTACTAAAGGCTGCTGCATATAAGTTGATCCATTTGAATGCTACTTTTCCAGGATCAGGAACCTGGAGGTCTCGCAAGCAAGCATGTTTCCATATGATGTCCTCCATAATGATACGATGGAACCACTTGCTAGTTGATGCAAGCATCACCAAAGATCTTCCATCCAAGAACTTAGCAATCTCTGTCCACAAGTCCTCTTCGTACCTTATGGTATTCAAATAGCCATAAATTCAGTCTCAACATTCATAACCAACTTGATAACTACCATATGATACCCAACAAAGATAATCTCAGGTATGTTCATGGTCATGCAGATGATACTAGTTGAACAAAGAAGCTGATATTCTAGAGTTCAAAGCATTGGCTTCTGTGATATAGCAAACTGTTTGATTTTTATTCGCAGTACTACATAGGCAAAAGTGACGTCAAAAGAAGGACAGCCATTAGCAATGCTCTTGAACTTGTATTCACAACCTTATGCTTATCCACCACCCAGGATATTTCTAAACTCATTTTTGGAAAACTAAATTAAAGCTTTGAATTTATAGCTAAAAATTGTATTTACAAGAGTTGAGAATGAGACTTTTAATACAGTTATTCACCTTCTTATAGAAAAGATGGTGTAGTATCAGTTATCAAATCTCAGATAATATTCGAACTTGAATTGAGTACTAGAAAATTTGTGGATCAAAGAGCATTCAAATGCAAATCCTCAGCCAATAAACACATTTGACAGTTGCAGCACAGCACGCATGTCAATATGCAGAGCAGCTGAATTTTAGCTAGGATATTAATGTGCTCCACTATTGAATCCATGGAACATAAAGCGTTGAACTGATTGAGAAATCAGAAAGCCTTGATTTCAAATGTATCCGCAATTGTTTCTTTTCTTCTATAGATACATAAAATTGAAATATGCGGCAACACAAAGAATCTAATAATACTGATACAGTATAGTGGCCTTCTTAGACGTAGTATCATCTACTTAGCTGACATTCAAAGATGAATTCATTCTTTGCTCAAATCCGTGGATCAGAGAGCATCGAACTGCAAAACCTCAATCAGCAAATGCATTTGATGGTTGTTACTAACGCGCGTGTAATAAACAGAACAGCTAAATTGTAGCTCAAATGCAATTTGTGCCGCATTTAAATTCTGGAAAATAGAGCATTTAAACTCCTAGAGAAAGCAGAAAGCCCTTGAATCCAGAAGTTTCAGCAATCGGATTACTTAATTTCTAAATACATATTATAGAAATATGCAGCGTCAGAGAGAGTCTAATAACACTTCTTTTAACACAGTATCGGATCGCCTTCATACAGAAACAGTACATTGATCGAATGCAGAATGTATCAGTTATGAATATTTAGCCCATATTAATAATTGAATTGTCTAACTCAAATTTGTGGATCAAAGAGCTTGAACTGTTCAACCAATAAACGTATTTTTATAGTATGCAATATAACACAAGTTGCATAAGCAGAGCAGCTGAGAATTTTAGCTCAAATTCAGTACAAAGCATCTACTCAGCCATACTTTTTCAATCGGACTACTTATATCTTGTAGATACCATAAAATATGCATGAGACCGCGAGAGAATAGAACTCTATTAATACAGTATCAAATCGCCTACTTACAGAAGCAATAGATTCGACTACAGGAGTAATTTCAGCAATCAATTTTTCACTAATATTCAAATAGAAAGCGCTTCTCGCTCAAATTTATGCATCAGCGAGCATTGAACTGCGAAATGTCAGTCAAATAGAATTTGACAATTGCCGCCATCAGTACAAGCATAGCAGCTGAACATTAGCTCAAAATTCAATTCGTTTCTAGTTTGAATTCATAAATTTAGTGCATTAAACTGATGCAGAAAGAACAAAACATCAATTTCAAATACTTTTGCAATCGGATTAAAATACAATTATGCAGAAAGAGAGAGAGAGAGAACCAGGAGAAGATAGAGTGAGGAGTGAGAAATTTCAATCGAGGAGATACACAGCTACAGAGCGGTCTTGTTCTCCTCATACGCTTCCCCATGGTGATCTCTAAGATTTGAAATGACTATGCGAAGTTCAAACTGAAGACGTGTTAGCTATTTATAGGCGCGCCAATGCTTGGATTCAAACTACAGAAGCTTTCATTTCGTCAGGGAAGATCCGCTGGGCCCAGGAAAGGAAGGCCCATAAAGAACGCATCTCAGCCTGTTACGTTCTGGTGCTTGCGACGCTCGGCCTGAAGCCCATACTTCGAGACTTTGTCCCTAAATGTGCCTTTATTAGTAGCTTTTATGAAATTATTTTTTTGGATACAGTTAGATTCAAGTCTAATTTATTTATATATTTTTCAACCTGATAGATTATTATTTTGAGTTTAATATTACAAGATTCAAAAAAAAAAAAATATTCTTAGTAAACTCCAAACAGCGTGTCAAGTCAAAATACGACAAATAAATTGAAACGATGGAGTATTGTTCATAAAAAAAGTAATGTTTTCATATAAAAAGAAAAAATAACTTTGCATTTCAAAATGTATTTTTACAAATTATATAAACAATTTTCATCTTTCAAAATAAAAAACTAGAAGAATATATTTTTAAGTAAAAAATTTTATTATTCAAAAGTTTAATACTTCCAATTTATTTTTGCCTTTAGGTCACCAATTTATTTATATTATCAAGTGTTCAGTAAAACCTGTCAGTTGTTCATTGAATATAAAAAAAAACAATATGCTTCAGATAAAAATTATTAACGATGTATTTTATTTTTTTCAGTAATAAACTTTTTAAAATATGTGCTTGCTGTAAATTTCCTTTTTTGTGTTGAATTAGGAAATTTACGGAAAGCAGATATTTTTAAAAGTTTATTACTGAGTTGCGAATTAGGAAACTTTTATTAGTCCGTTAATGGAATGTACACTTTAACTATAACTAGTAATCCTAACGCGCACCAGATTGTTAAAAAAAAAGTAAAAATTTAACATAAACTTTCCTAATCCAAACACAAATAGGAAAAGGATGACCATCCTCTATAAATAGTAGTAATATAATGCAAAGTTTACACAAGTAACAACATCAATTGAAGCATGACTACAATAAGACTCTTTGGCAATGACATCAAAGTCTCAGAGAAGAAAGAGGTAAAGAGCATAATGTTATTCGGAACACGAATATTTTTCCAGTCTCCAGCATTGAACAACAATAACAACGATAGATTTATAAATATGGCAGATTTGCCTCCAAGAAGTATGCATTTGGCTATTGAGTCTATCCGTGGGAGTAGACCGGTTTACATGGGCTGGAAATACTTGGAGAACTCGGACATCAACGCGAACTTGAGCAGGTTCTTAATTCCAGTTGAGTGCTGCTCGAAATTAATCCACTACATGACTCGGTTGGAGAGAGAAAAGATACTAAACAAAGATGATAGAGGTATTAACGTGAGTGTAATGGATCCAAAGGGTAATTTACATGATATGAAGTTTACTGGATGGAAGAGTTTGGGGAGACTTGTGTTTAACAGAGGATGGAACAATCTTGTTAGAGATAACCAATTTCAAAAAGGAGATTTACTTGAACTCTGGCACTTCAGAATGCCTAATAATAAACCTTGTTTTGCTATAAATATCATTAGGTTCTAGTAGCATTTTCGTCATTACTTTTTCTCCTTTTCCTCTCTCCTCATTTTTTTTTTAACCATATTTTGATGTAATTCTACTGTTAATACCCAAGTATGATCCAGTTTCTGTTTTAATTTTTCGTCTTTCTTTGGCTTACAATCAATGTTTCTATGGCATCAAAAAGCGGTCATTAACTTATAATGACAAAACATTTTTTTTCTAAATGGTCATGTGTATTTTGATGATGCGATATCTAATATGGACCTTACATTTTTCTTAAATGTTTTGGATAAAGAGTAATGATTAATCTATTTTAATGGGATGTTACACTTCGTATAAATTTTCATTAAAACAAAGTTATCTATAAAAAATGTAGAATAAATTTTTATTTGCACGACTTGCTATTGATTTTCATAGGTCTAACGGTAATTCTAAATTATTGATTTGTTAAAACCTACAAAATTGATTTAAGTGATATTTTTAATTAAAAAAATTGTATTAAGAATTAAAATGTATATGCTTAATTGACATGATAATTTATTTTTAAGTTATACTCCTCTATAATCTATATTATAAAGTAAAAAGTTTCTTACTATATGTCATATAAAAATACTTATAACTGATTTCACATAAAATGTCAAATTTATAACTTTTCATAGAAAAATGAATTAATATTACGAAAATAAATTTGTAGTGTGAAATTTCGTTACACTAATATGTATATGACATACACTTATTTAAATATACAGTTTGTACTCTATTTTTTCATAAGTAATTTTCAACTATTAATAAATTATCTCTTATAATTTTTATGTTGTTTCATAATGACAATTAACATATGACATATCTTTATATAAATCAAAATATTTCTCATCTCCTTACAATACATTACGTAATTTACTTTTATTTATATATATTATATTAGGTATAAAATATCATTCATTTTTTTAATTTAAAATATGTAGAATTTATGTAAATTATATTCAAATATTTATTATTTTATGATCATTTAATTAAAATGAGTTATATATAATAATGATTTAACAATTTTACTAAGTTATTATAATTTCTATCACATAAATCTTTGTAATGCGTTTTATTCTCTTCGTTTAAGGATAGTACATTGTTTCAACATGTATGTAAACTTCCTTGAAGCTCTCTTTGTTGGTGAATGTTCTATTGATTTTATATTATATAAGATATGAAGTAAAGCATAGTCTATTTTCTCCTCATCTTTTGTTATTTCCTCCATTTCAATTTATATGACACCATTTGACTTGACACAAAGTTTATGAAAGAAATAATTTATTTTTTAAAAATTATGGTCTAAAATATTATTTGACCATTTGTATGACCATAAATCATTTCATCAACAATAAAAAGAGTATTTTAAGACTAAATTATTTTTTATTGTGGAAAGGTGACATTTTTTTTTGCAACATATAAAAAAAAAGGTGATACATGTGTAATTTCAGGTAAAGATCAATCTAGTTCGAATGCAGGTCAGGTGCTTGGTCGAAATTCGTTTGCAACATCGAAACATTAAAATTCTGGATAGCAAACATGCCAAACTGAAGTTGGGCAGCAACTAAATTTAATGCTATTGAAAAATAAAGTGTTACAGCTACAGGGATCGCGAGGGTAGGAAGTGAACTTGCAGATACATCAAATGATAAGATTGAGTTTCAAGAAAAGACAACTAATTCAAAGGCTTTTGGAAAGCTATTGACTCAAGATGTAGCCATTAAAACAGTTGTTACTTATGTGATAAGAAAACTTGGAGAGTCTAATATATATAATTGATAAAGCATGGGTAACGGTTGATGTTAGAGCTCTAATTGATTCTCCAGGAGCCTCTCTAATTAAGCCTCATGTTGATCCTAAGAAGAATTAATATAATTAACTCTCATGCTCTACCAATTGTTTCAATCTCTCAAGTTATTTCGATAAATAATTTGATCACTCTTAGCGGGCAAAAAGGTGTTATAAGTGAGAGTCGATGGGCCGATCGAGTGGAAGAAGAGGATGAACATGTCACAAATTATAAAAAATTGAGCTCCGAATCATCAATTTTTGTGCCTAAGAGTAGTGGTTCATCTCCATTACATATAGGGCGACAATTGGTTTTAACATGTACTAATATTCAAAAGATTTATGTTTGTGACAAAGAGCTTCTTGATGCGTTGGTGAGTTCTCATGTTAAAAAGTTGACTACTCTTATGCCTATTAACAAAAACAAGTAACTACACGATGTTGGTAGTAGTTTTTTCTCCACAAATAGATTTGCTAACCTACAAGATGAGTACACCTTTGAGGAAAGTGAAGAAGAGGACATTTTGCATTATTGTTTTGCAAATGCAACTAGGGATGCAGATATTTCTCCTAGGCAACAACGCAATAACAAAAAGAAGCGTGGAAGAAAAAAATAGTTGGGATGGTAAGATGACTGAGGAGTTTGTTCCAAGGTACCTATCAATGCAACAGGCAAAACAGAATCATATGACAGTAGCACAACTTAAACAAGATCCAACAAATCTAAGAAGAATTGATGAACTATTAAGTATTGTTAGACAAATTTGAAGAGGAAGACAAGAGGAAAATACTTCAGGTTACTTTAGAAGGGCAATCTATCTTTTTTAGTTCATACTTTTGTAAAACGAAGTTTGAGTTTAATTACTCAAATTTCATCATGGCTTTTATACTTTTTAACTACTTAAGAATCCTCATTTTTAATGTCATTCTAGAGTGTATTGTAAACTCTGTGATAATCATAGAATACTTAGTTCTCTCTAACTCTTATTTTCTTCAAGTGGGTTAATTAATATAGGTTTCTTACCTCATTGGAATTAGTAAGGTAAGGTCTAGCCCCCCTTTCTTGTACTTATCTATGTTGAGGTTTTCTTTTTAGTTATACTAGTAAAATCACTCGCGCTTCGCACGGAAATTTAATATCACAAAATTTATAAAATAATACTTAAAACCTATGAGTCATTAAAACAAAAACACTATATTATCTTACATACAAAATTACGTAGTAACAAATATTAATAATGTAAAGGAAGATGATAATTATAATATCTTATCATTTATCCTTTCAATCAATCATCTTTAATTTGACTTTATCATTTATCTTTTTGCTTCCAGAAAGTGTTACTATTTCATATTTTTGGGGATTCAAATGAACATCAACTGGAGACATTAAATTTTCTAACAAATAAATAATCGTTGGTGAAGGGATAAATAAATTTTAAAATGATGAAAAAAGTGAACAATGATTCTAATTCTAACGTGTAGAAAGTTCGGCCCTACCTTTGTTTTACATATATCATTTTAAAGTTTCCCATTTAAATGTATCATAAGTAATTATTAAAATGAAAAATTAAAGGGAGAATGTATCATATTGGACAACAATTCAACTTATTATATACACTTGAAAGGGAAAAATATTACACAACATATCAGAGTGATGAAGTTCAATTTGAAATTACACTTCTATTCCAATCGCATTGTCGAGAAACACATTTATTACTTTAAGTAAAAGTATTTACAACTTGCAGTAAACTTGAGAATATGTTCATACTTTCATATTGAATATGAGCAATTAATTATTTTGTAGTTATCTATGTCTTTGGGATTAAAAGAGGCTCCAGTCTAGTCATATTCCTCTATAGGTCATCCGGCACATCCTTGAACCCATGTCAAAAGTTTATTAATTATTTTCTTCTTTTCCTGGTTCACTCCGCACATCAAGGTGCGATAAAAAAAATTTAAGGTTTTTATGTCCTTACAATGGCATACCAAATTTGAATTTTGTTTTCAAGAGATGGTAGTATAGATCTTTAAGAAAAAAATTTATTGTACCTTCAACAATTTCAGTAGAGAAAACTTGCGTGAATACTCAATTAACGTGTGTTATTTAATATGTACTAACAAATACTTATAACAATAATTTTGCAGAAACATAAACAACAAAGTTTAACACATGTACTGAAAAATAACAATTAATAACATAAGCATAAATTAATGACTTTAAAAAACATACCAGGATCTATAACAATAAAATGAAACAGAAAGGAAAAAATTGTACACGAATATTTAATTGTGCAAAAGAAGAAGAAGAAGAAGTTCAGAATTTTTGTTGTTTTAAAATGAGAGGAAATCCCTCTATTTATAGCTAGACAACAAAGGGTAGAGTGAACAAATGTTTATTGTGCCTTATCGGAAAGGTCACAACTCTTTAGAAAAGTTGCAACCCTTCGGAAAGATCATAACATTTCATAAAAGTCACAACTTTTCATAAAAGTCGCAACTCTTCATAAAAAGTTACAATATTTCATAAAAGTCACAACTTTTCATAAAAGTCGCAACTTTTCATAAAAGTCACAATTTTTTTATGAAAGGGAAGGCTAGTTTTGGAAATAAATTAATTAATTAAAAGGAATCCTGATTTGTTGTGGTGCCACATAGGCGGGCCTAGGGTTTTCTTTTATATATATATATATATATATATAGTTCTGGAAAAAAAATAGTCTAAAATAGTATGCCAGAAAGAATAATATGGTCTCTTATTTTTAATCAAGAAGGTGATAAGGACCGTCTTAACTCTTCACTCTTCTACATAACAAAAGTTTGCTAATACAAATAACTCTTCTACATAATAAAAGCTTGCTAATACAAAGAATTTATAAATACATTATGAAAAAATATCAATGTTATTAGGTATTAGATTTGATGTATGTGTTATACATAATATTAAAATGAGTATGAGAGATATATTTTCAAATTTTAATTATAGAAACTTAAAAAAATTATAAGTTTTATTTAATTTAATAGAAATAGAAAAAATATTACCCATAACTTTTCACATTCTAATACCACTCCTATATACATAATAACACAACGTTATTATTGACCCTTAAATGAAATATGTATGGTTGAATAAATTGTAAATTGTTACAATAATATTAAGGTAAACATGTGATTATATATATGATTTCACTTATTGAATATATTTTTTATGT